TTCTTGAAATTATTTTCATTTACTAAATATCAGATCTTAACGGTATCTTAAGTGAATTGCTTCGAATAGTTCCTTGTGTATCTGTCGTTGATAGTTTTCTCCACTACTCGATATCACTTCTTCCATGTTATATGCATATCTAACATATATCTACCAGTTATTTAAAGTGATTTACGCCCATTTCCTGTGATTTCTTTTATGAGATAAGTCTCATTTTGATTCGTTTCGAATTCTCTAAATGGTTGTCTTAAAAATCTATATAATTCGATAAATAAAGTACAGATGACTTTGAAATCGAATGCTAATATTTATTGGACCAGTGTGATATCGGAGTATCTATTGATTTTATGTATTCACAGTCATCATATATTTTCTAAAATAACCGCGATTGCTACGTGTTTATACATTTTTATTCAGACTTTAACGTTATCAATTGTTTTCGTGATATATTATTGGATTCTCATTTGGACACGAATTCATTGTATTCTATTAGAGTTGTACTTAGTGCTATTGAAGCTGCGATTCATAACAGTAAAAAAGTGAGTTCCATTTCATTGTTTTAGTTCCCACTTTAATACGCTACATTGACAATTAAGTTCAAACTGTGTACAAGTTTCAGAAACTCAGGCGGTCGTAACTCTCCTCTCTCATCGATCCATTCTCGAAATGCTAATAGTTTTTTCATCGCTTTCTGTCTGGTGTGTGTATATTATCTACTAAAAATCCGAACTCTAATTTCCATACAATAGTTGCCAATTATTTACATTATTACCTATACAAATTAAGAATTAATTCGTTTTAGAAAAATATTGAACGTTTCATTATTTACTTTTCTAAATATTGGAATGTGATACACTCAAAGCATCTTTAGTAAATTTACTAGACTTGTTATGAAGTTTGTCAAACTATTATTTATACTTATATTGCATTAACGAACTTTTACTAGTGTACTTGTATAGTGGTGACTCAGCAATTAAGGTGTTCACCTCCCAACCATCAGGTTACAAGCCTGAACCCAGCCACCTCCTGCTACGTAATTCGAATAAGGTAAGTTTTTTCTGACGTGTTTTTACCAGAGTATAAACCATTTCACCGCTGATCAAAACTAACTTCAAACAACTAGTAGTATTGACTAACTTACCAAAAATAGACAGCTCATACAGGTGCCAAACGGACATCAGCTGGACTTGAAAGTTAAACACATCATAAACTAAGACAAATGTTTATTTATTGATTCACCATACTACACTTTCACATCGGCGACATGAAAATAAACCCACAAGACTAAAAAGAAGGAAATGAAAATGATAGCTACAGATAGTCATTGCAACTGGGAATAACTTGTAGTGTTTGGTACCGGAAATCAATGCGATCTCCACCACCAAAAGTAGAATACGAAAACTGATTGTAGACGAAGATCTGTTTCACTCTACAAAATGTATGTCAAATAAATCCTCGTCTAAAATCTCTATGTTCTTATTTGGGTCATGCGATTCACAGGTTCAAATAATCAGTCCCAATTATCCACCGTTACAGCAACTGTTAACGTGTTTTGGTGAATGAAATAGATTTTCATCTTCAATCGGTTTCGATGTTCTTATATGAATCATAGAAACTGGAGTGCTTTCCAGTATCAATTATTACAAGTTTCTCTCAGTTGTAACAGTAATACGATACTTTTGGGGGGTATTTTCTTGTATACATTGATCTTAATTGTCATATAGAAATTTTACAATCTATATATATATATATATATATATATATATATATATATATATATATATATATATATATAATACCTTTATCTTATAGATTCGTGTATTTATGAAATCTAATTCCTGTTTACGACATTTGACAAATTTTTGGGAATCATATCAAGTCAGAAATGAATTTTTATCAGTTTTTCCAAGAGTTAAGTCCTTAATCATAAAATTACAAGGATAACTATTCACCTTTTTTAAATCATAATTACCTGTGAAAAATAGTTAGAATGTGTATATTACTATAACCGGAACATTGGATAAAATGTGAAATCTCGGTTTTTTTATTTATTCATTGTATAAAACTTCCTAAAATAAACTTTCATAATTAATCATCAAACTATTTCTGTTTATTTCTCAATGTTTTGAGTATTATTTATAAAATTAGTTTCATTGAAATCTTTAACAAAATTAATTTAACTGAAGGTGAGTTTCCTAGGAACTTAATGGATTCAATAGTTCTTGAAAAAAAATTGACATACCACTTATTTAAATCAGTTTTTATCACCATACAAATCTGACAGAAATGTGCATCAGCCCAAGAAGCCATAGCACATCAACACGGAGAGAGGAATGATAATTCAAAAAATATATATCAGTACCTATTATACTAAGAAACACTAAATATTGGAGGTTGCTATTCGAAGGATAAGAATGAATCTGAAGAATAAAGCGTACGAAAGAATAATAAAACTCAAAACGTAGCGAAGATAAAGTCTAAATGCATCTGCAACACTGACTAATTCTGAACTGAACGTCTCCAATTACCGATGACAGTTATTATCTAGAATCCATTCAAAAAGATCTGGGTCTACTAATGAACCTCAGTCAAACTTTCAGTGACATCATGGATTGATATCACGACTTGATTTGGCCGCCCTAAATTTTCTTCCAACCCATTCGTACGCCAGATAATATGGTGGGGGTTTAGATTTTCCCCTGAGACAACTCATTAGTATTCAACAAAGAGACTGTTTACCGAACCAATTACTCGAAAAGACGTTGGATACCAGGAATCTGAGAATGCGATGAAGCGGCTTCAAATACTCCGTATTTCTTTGACTAATACTGACTTGCTACCGAAACTAGCACCATCCAAACTGAATATCAACAACTTAAGATTTATTTCCTCGGTTCAAACTGTTATATATTTCAAATTAATGTAGATTTTGATTTTACATTCTAGAACAGCGCGTTTTTATGTTTATAATCAAGCATTTCCAAGAATATTTTGGAACTTCAGAATCCTAACAAGCATACCATAAATACTGAAGTTTGTTTTATTCGAGTTTCACATAATTAAGAACTACATAAACACCAGTGCATTTAAGTGTGAAGTTAAGAAACTCTTAGTTGTATATAATTACTGACAATATAAAATGAACTAGTCGCTTTAAAAACAATTACCTGACTGCTGAATTAGTAGACAGTAGTGCAAATCCAAAACGTATTAAAATCCAAGCCGAAAATATTCTGCTTACGGACTTGCAGTTGTCGTGGGTGGATTTTAAATGATAAAAATAGATACAGACTGGATCTACTTTCATCATACTACGGTCAATTATTTCACTTTTTGGATCTCTTATGATATCCCCCTTCTCTATATAACTTTAACTACTTGATGCTGAATTGTTCTCCTTAAATTTGTGGTCATCGTAGTCATATGGAACATGAGTAATGTGTTTTGAAGAATAACAAATAAATTTATTTTCCGGTCTACAATTAGACATTTTGAGATCAAAGTTATGACTTCAAAGTATAAGCACATGATAAGGCTTCCAGTCGTTCCGAAGGCGGAAGAGATGTTTTCGCTAGTGTTGGTAAGCGATTTTATTTCCAACCTGAATATTTTCTCCTGTAATTTAATTTAAGAGTCCTTGTCATTTCCCCATGAAAAACTACATGAAGCTTTAAATTCCTACCTTATGTTATTTCAACCAGTTACAGTGATTAAAGTGCAATCAGCTTATGATTTTCTCACTTTTGATGAGGGCTAGTTTCCTCTATATCTAACTCCAATAAATGATGTCCCGTTAACTTAGTATTTAAGGTACGCTAAATCTCCTAGTAGGATTATGGATTCACTCGAGATTATTCAGAAGCCTGAACACCAGTTGTAGAGATTTTTTTGTTAAAGATAAATAAAATCCACAAGCTTACAGCGAGCAAACACACTGAAACCACGAGTGTGTGTGTGTGAGTTAAATATCCATACACATTTTTGAGTGTCAATCTAGTGTGGATAAATTATTGATTACCTGTATGTTACAAACAATAGGAGAATACATTAAGGTTGATGTGAATGGGCTTGCTACACTTTACAGCTCTATACAGTAGTCAGAAGACTATTATGGTACTATGTACTGGATACATAACATATTTAGAAATTGAAATAGTAGAGCTGGAATTTCTTGAAACTGGAAACATTTAGTATGATCGCAAGTAGTTTGAGTGCGAATTGTATGATTATCGTACATTGGACAGTTTTTGCAGATGAGCGTTTACAAACATTATGTAATTGTGGAAAAATATCTCCGTCTTTTTGTCCGTTGAAAAGCTCTTCTTACACAACATTGCTAAATGATTAGAAAAACTAATATGCTATCTTCCAAACGTCTCACATAATTTTGGTGGAGTTTTGTTCTCTGAGCTGGATGGTTTGGTCGTGGAGCTTTCATCGTTCTTCTGAACATCATCAACACAAACTTCCACCTGAGCTACAAATCTTCTCTACCGTCTCACATAATGCACTGAAGTCAAACGCATTTACACCATAGGGATAATATTAATTTTATCACTGCGACAGTAATCTCGCTTCAATCTATGTTTTGAATAAAACAAAGTACGAATAAAAAATGTGGATCTAATTTAAACTACTGACTGTAGTGAATAGTTGAGTTATTCGTTCACCTCAGTTTAACCACCTTTGGTGTTCCATTACTACTCACTGAAGTTTGTGTTACTTGTGTAGTACTGCGGCGTTTATAGAAATACTAGTATATAACCCAACAGTGAGCCGAAACTGTATTTTGTGGACAAATATCCTTGCACACTGCAGACAACAGGGTAGCATCTATTTACTAGAAACAGCATAATTTGAGTCGAATCTTCTTACCCAATAAAGATAACTTACATCGACTATATTTTGTCTGTCATTTTCCCAAAATCGAGTAAATATCGATTTGTTTCTGTCTCACAGGTCTTGCTGAATACAACTATTATTGAAGAGCTTCCTGTTTTATAATGGTAATTCTTAAGGAATTTTATAAATTGATTAAACAAACACAAATGTTTTCAAGTGAATGTACAAAACAACATTTGAAATTGATTCATATGTAGTCAAAACTTTGACTTCAACCAATACATGTATCTCGATAATAGTACACAGTTAAATTATCCAGAATATTTGGAAAAGAATAATAATTAAACGCATGAAAATAACGTACAATACTTAGTAAGCATAAAGGAAGAAATAATATTTGATCTTAATTATAGAACACCTTTAAAACAGTTGATAAAATAAGAAATAAACAGTAAATATTATACTCGTAAAATTTCTAACGAATTATTATAACAAATGGCTATCCAATCTGGTTGTGTTGATGACCATTGAATTTGATTAATTTCACCGGCAGCTGTATATGCTAGAATAGGATCTTCTATTGCTCTTGGCATAGACTGAATATCCCAGATAAGAGCTTGACAATCTTCAGATGCTGTACATAAATGACAACTTGAATGTGGTGCCCATGCTAATCCATTTACAAATGCTCTGTGATTGTTTAAACGAGCTACTGGAGTGCATGGTACACGTAAATCCAAAATAATTATCTGCAGTTGTAAAACAATATAAATCCAAAAAGAACATCAGTATACTGAAATATAGGTAAGCATATTGTGCAAAACAAAGAGGCTGAGATCTTTTCAGTAATTGTTAAATCGAAATAGCTACTAAATTAGAGCGAACTAAAGAGAGTGACCAATTGATTACAAAACAAGTATGCTTTTTCATATTTCGATAACACGTTTCATCTATCCAAAGATATAAATGATATTACGATAACTGAATTCTGCCTTAAGTCTCTATGGTATATATTCAAAAGCTTTATCAAGGGTAGTATCCCTACATTTGGGACAGATTGTAACTTAACGTTTAGTATATGAATCTGCACTTATATAAGAGTGGGTTAAATTGAAATTTGTATATTATACTACTTTAAAACTAACTGTAAGCCCATTTCTATTATGTGATTGCATTTTTGTACAAAGTGAGCGTTGAAATAAACTGAAAGAGATCAAAGCATATATTGAACGGAATTATTGTTATTATTATTTCGCTTCACATGAGAGGATGGGACAATAATCTTAACTTTATCTACAAGCAATGGTATAGAGTTGTGCAAACAGACGGTAAAAACATGAATGCAATTGTAAAGAATTGGATTTGAGCGAACCATCGTTCCTGAATCAATTACCATAAATGAACTTTTTACTCTATCTCGTTATATTATGTAACAACATATGTCGACATATACTTTAAAGTAGGTCTCTAAAATTGCATAGCCATTTGAGGTGTGTTAGAATGGCCAACCACCCGTACATTAATGTTTTCTGACTTAAAGTACAAATTTCCCTGTTTTTCACAACCGAAGTACGTGAGGCAAGGTTCGGACACCTTAAGCACGGAAAAAGGACGTACATGTAGTGAAGGTCAATGCTATTTATAACAAATATAAGATTACCAGGATGGCTCATTAGTCACATCCCATCTAAATGATTAAGAGCTGTCCAAAAATGAAAATATATTTACATAAGAATTATAGGGTTACTGAAGGTTTAACAAGAAGATTCCTGAGATAGATTGACAAACGGGACAGTGGATAATTCTTTCTCCTATGAAAGTGTGTTGCTTCAGATAGTTACCCCTTTCCCCTTGAGTAACATCTCAACTTCAGTAATCTATTCAACTTAATGAGGAAGGTGTGAACGAAAAAGAGAGCGAACAAATAAATAGTAATAAGGCATTCAAGCTATATGAAAAACAAAAGGTCCCAGCTTTTGAGTATCAAGGTAATCTAGCATCTACCTTCGTTATACACATTTATTTTCTGAATTTCTGTCCACAAAATAGCCGCTTTGTTCGAATCGGTGATAAAATGTGCATAAATAACGTCCTAGTAATCTTCCTTTCAACAGTAATAAACGTGAAATTATTTTATTTTATTTGAACACGTAAATATTGGTACAAGAGAGCACCAAATATATATGCGTCACACAAAACAATGAGGATGGGAAGAGAAAAAAAGATAAGGAGCGTAAAAGAGAAAAAAGAACAATAATGACTAGATTAGTGTAAAGTAGTGTGAATAATAATAAACGTGAAAACTTCTTACTGAGCGATTTCACGGAAATGTCTTTGGTCATTGGCAGACGCCGTCGTTTTTAGATCTAGTACAGAATGCGTTTTCTAGTTAGTTGGTTGATAAAACGAATAATGTACGTATAAAAGCCATCTGACACGTGTTATCATCAAAATATACCTTGTAATACATATTACAATCGGGTTTGCGATTAAATAATCCTCAGGATCTTACATTGATACTTTCATAATAAAAAAGTTATTCAAGTCTACGAAACAATTCGACTTATTAACAAAATCCAACACCATTAGTAACTATCATAGTATCAGGTGTTCCTATAAAAACTAGTGTTTTATCCTATTATGAAAATACCAATCAAATATATGGTGTAAAAGTGAAAAACTAAAACAGCTTACTTCTACGGAGTCCATTGCAAATGTCGCTAGATAGTTTGCATCTTGCTTATTCCAAGCTAAGCGTAAAAGTGGGGAATGATTTGAATCTTCATACACGATATTAGAATGCTCCAAATGCCGAAGATCAAACATACGTACAGAACCATCTGCACCTAAAAAATATGATCAGTCAAAATCCAATTACTTTACCTGAGACAGAATGGCATGGAATTATGGACAGTTGTATTTGGACTACGAAATATATAACAATTTAATAGAGAAACCGAAATTACCGATGACCTAAAGCGAAAACCACATGGAATGTATCTGAGTTGTCTCTTATAATACTATTATTGAACTTAACAAAACAAATACGATTTTGACCCGTTTTAAGCATGCACGGTTCTATGTTGTCACATCTCACGTTTGCACAATTCCAAGACAAAGAAATAAACACAGTAGTGCTAACAATTTAAGATACTAAATAGAAATATATATAAATGCGTATTCCTACGCTCTTTAATTTGGTAAAGAAGAAAAGTAACCAAAACCTTTATGGTGTGGAATAAGTGAGCTTGATGATCAGGCGGATGGATGGCGATACTTACGCACTAGTCATGTGTTTCTGAAAAGTGATGTATCATCAAGTTCATTTCATGTTTGCAGGTGAGTACGTCATTGTTACACAGAATGGCTCCTATTTTAATGACGAGTTATTTTTTTCTCTGGGATCTGTTCATTCGGAACATCCCACCAGTAGTTCCGTCACATTATTCATAATTGATCATACGTAGATCTAGAGGTATTCACTTCAGCCTGTTATAACAGCTGCTTCACCTAGGGACTTTTATGGCCGTTGCTTGTCTGTTATCCCTAACATATGATTATTTAATTTAGTACTTTCATTCATATAATACTACTAGAATTTTGCTGATTATCACAGTTAACAAAGAATCAGCTAACACATGCTTATATAAGCTAACAACCGGTTGTCCACAAAATTATCACCTGTTCCTTTGTTTGCAGTTCGAAATACTGCGTAAACCGGGCGAGTACATCGTATTATTCACTCTCCTAAAATTCTGTGGTTACATATGACGTACCATAAATAATAAATCGCAATCTGTACATAGATAGGACATTAATGGTATAAACCTGATAATTAGTAAAGCCGAATCATTAAATTCGGAAAATATAAAATAACATGACCCAAATACTTAATAAATGAATATATATTGAGTGCCTTCACTTTCAAATATTTCTTGACTGCTTATTTCAATTTCAAAATATGTTGCTTAATTATGTTATGTATTCGGTAGATAGTACCATAATAGTGTTCTGACTACTGTATAGAGCTGTAAATTGAGAAAATTATAAACTGATGGCATTTTAATCACTGTAACTGGTTGAAATAACATAAGGTAGGAATTTAGTTTCATGTAAATCTTCATGGGGAAATGACAAGGACTCTGTTAAGTTAAATTACAGGAGAAAATATTCAAGTTGAAAATAAAACCGCTTACCAACACTAGCGAAAACATCTCTTCCGCCTCCAGCACGACTGAAAGCTATGTCATATACTTCTTTGTCATGGGCTATCAACTGAGATTCTACACGTCCACTTACGACATTTGTATGGCCGATCACCTGCTCCGTCTTTTGAAGTAACAGTTAAGATAGATAATTATATAAAGAAACTGTTAACAAGTTTTATAAATACAACAAAACATCTTCTATAGAAGATTAGCCTGAAAGTTGTCCAGTACGCTAGTTTACATTGTATAAGTAATGTAAACTAGAGTTCTGGAAAACCGTTTTGACGTTCTTGCCTCCGACTGAAATAGGCTCTTGAACACTTCACAGACCAGGTCAAAAGATGAAACAACGATTTTCAAAAACAAACCCCCAGTTTGCAGAGATTTTTTCCGTACCGAAGGTAAATTATCAGACGATTGATGAGCTTTAGAGCAACAAGCAATGGTGGTCTGTCACTCTATTTTCTATGTATTTTTCATCAGTCAAAATGAAACAGAATTAAACAAAATACAGCCAAGGAGACTGATTTAAGTACTTGATCTTCGATTCATATTAACGTTTTAAACTCTGGTGCATGAACTGAAGTTCGGACAAGTGCAGTGTCTGACGCACTAAGCACCATATATTTTCGAAAACTAAAGTAACTTATATTCATTCGGTATTGTTTGGCTTGTACCTTCACATTGAGGTTTAAGACTGCAATTGCTCAGTCTGTTATTGGCATATGTGCAAGGATGGATAATGGCTAGCAGTGGAATCAAGGACTCGCGTTTCGTCCTATTTGGGACTCGTCGGCTGGATGTACCTGCATCTCAGAGTTGATGTTCACTCTGGGACTCGTACCCAGTACCATTCGCTTCAAACGCCATTGCGTTATCCACTCAGCTACTGAGTCCAGATAGCCACTTGCTTGTTGAATGCGGTGGATTTAAATTCACTTGGTATTGTTTGGCTTGTATCTTCCCATTAAGGTTTAAGACTGTAATTGATCAGTCTGTTATTGGCATATAGAATGAAACGCGCGTCCTGGATTCCACTGCTAGCCACTATCCATCATTGCTTACAAAGCTTGTGAATTAAGGCAATATCGAGACATACGCACAGTATGCACATATGCCAATAACAGACTGATCAATTACAGTCTTAAACCTCAATGGGAAGATACAAACCAAACAATACCAAGTGAATTAAGCTTCACCCCATTGCACAAGCAAGTGGTTATCAGCACTCGGTAGCTGAGTGGATAACGCAATGGCGTTTGAAGCGAGTGGTACTGAATTCGAGTCCCAGAGTGAACATCAACACTGAGATGCAGGTACATCCAGCTGATGAGTCTCAAATGAGACGAAACGCGCGTCCTAAATCCCACTGCTAGCCACTACCATCATTGCTTACAAAGTAACTTATTTCCTGGTAGAGACATTTTTAATTTAGGGGAGATTGCTTATCAATATATAAGATCAAGGTGGGTGAAATATTGCTCCACAAAGTAGTAAAACTGATTCTGTTTGTAATTCAAAAACTGATAGTCCGTTGTAAGAGGTGTACTGTGTTTACTTAGTGAAATCACTTGGCGCTTAATAAGTCTCTGTCACTCAAGACACTTTCCCCCTTTAATAAGTGTATACGGAAAGTTGGTAAAGCAGTTCAAATGGTATTTTCATGATTCTTACTTCAAGGGCCCAGATAGTGCATGTAGTATCGATGCTAGACGTTCCAATGATATTCGGGTCTACTTCATTCCAATCAAAGGAAGTAAGTGGGGCGCAATAATCCGAATTTTTATTATTATTCAATAAGCATTCATTTTTAACTTCAGAATCTTCATTTATTCTCCAAACACGAAGGTAATCACCACTTGTGGCAAGTAAATCAGGGAAAATACACTTTGTGTCAGGGATCCACATGATTTTTGACGTTGGGTAGTGATGTGCGAACGTACTTTGTACAACGAACTCTCCTTGTTCATCGTCTAGATATATTACTTGGACTTTATTATTGTACTCCTCAATGAAACTACCCACAGCTAAACGAAAGCGTTTATCTGGTCTGACAGACCAGTTCATGCTGAAAATACACCAAGGAGCATTGTATCTATATATCTCTTTTCGTTTAGTTGTATTAGACTTTGCACTAGTAGATGACTGATGTGAAGCAATAGGCATGTTAGGAATAACACCAGGAGTGTCTGACATTGGAATAGACGTTTTCAATCTATGTTAAAAGAAACAAATAGTAAAGATTTTGATCAAAACTGGATATACATGTAGCTTAGTGAGAAATGAAAACGTGAACATTGTCTTAATGCATCAGAATATAAGATGTATGAAATAAATTGAAAGGAGAAGCGAAACAAAGATCTGCACAAACATTCACTGGTCTAGGCTTTCCTGTCTCTTAAAAAACTAAAACGGAGTCAAAAGAATAAAAAATAACAAGATTCATCAAACGAAAGATAGCGACTAGACAAAAGATATGATGACCTAGTCGAACTTAATTAAAAACGAAAAGGAGTCAAGATTTAATGTCACTTATCTCTAGTATGTATCTGAATCTACACAATAAGCTTACATTTCTCTAAATTTCCCAAGCACACAGTATTCTGTCTGTGAGAGACAAACAGCCATAAAGCTTTGGGAAGTATACCATTTAGAGGACATTATTAATTAACATACTCCTCGGATCCATCCAGAGTGATCCCAAAACGCAATCCCATAAGTAACCACATCGTTAACGACATTATTGTGTCAAAGTAGCCAAATCAACAATGTAAGTACCATACGTTAGGATTGCAGTCCATGAAATAACCTACTACTTGGAGGCACTGAAGCAACAGATTCGAAGCTAGTATAAACTCAGATCTAGTTATAATATTGTAGTTAAAAGTCAACAAATTCCCTTCGATTTCAAACTTTGGGCCTTGCTTACTATATCAACCATAGAACTCCTTGTCTTAATACAACATTATAGTGTTATTTGAGTGTTTTGAACGGCCTACAGGATTATTATTTAAAAAGGTGGACCCAGTTATTAACATTAGTGTGACAGAACCGAGGATATATATTTCGCTAACGAACTACTAATTACTATCGTTTTAGTTGACAAATTTACAATAACCCCCACGTAAATAAACGTGAATAGGAAACCTCCAACCTCAATCAGGAAATGTCAGTTAGATATAAATGTAGATTACACGGTTTAAAAAATGACGTACATCAGGCTGATTTGTAGTGGATTATCTCCTAGACAATTTCTTACGCTTGGTAAATCAATCGCCTCGATAACTGTTATTAAATAAATCCCAACGGTGTATGAATCTCAGAATGCAACATGATGCACCAGCTACAGTTTATTATTGAATAGCACAGATCACTAAGCCACAAGCACACCAAGCGAATCCCAGCAGAAATGCTAATGCGAGCAAATAAAGAGGCGAATTATTAGTCGAAAAAAAATGGAATGAAGAATAGAGTCAGTTAATAAGATTAATGCACCTATGTATATCGGGAGGACGAATGACTCATCAAACAGTTTTTAAGCAACTAACGTTTAAGCTAGAATGAGGGATATGTGCGTATTCTGTAACATGGGGTCAAGCATACATATTCATATAGACATGGTATAAATATCAAAATATACAAACTGTAGCTAGTTGAATAACACTGTTTGCTAAACAAGCTAATCGAATGCGCTGACAAGATTAAACCTTCACAAACCCATGTTTCGGAAAGGTTTTATAAATTCGAATGTAAACAATCCTTCAATTTAAGCCAGTTTCTTTGACAAACACTAATTCTTGGAAATTATTGTCCGTCGTTGAGACCTTGTATTTTCGACTACATTAGGTATATCCACTAACAAACAATATTCTGTGGTAATCGAAGTCAAGTAGGTTTTTTGTCAAAGGTTAGACAATTTATCTTTATCTTTATGCTTACAATTGTTTCAAGGTCAGATAACGTCCTTCAGTGCGACTAGAAAACTGTATTAAAAACCGTTGGACAATAAATGCAATTAGAAAAAAACTTTTCCCGAGAATCTGTGAAGAGCCTGATTTTTAGACTACAAATGTGGATGATCTTCGTCAATTATCATGGCCTATTCGAGTTGTACAATAATGGTTTGACCACCAAGCTTACGAGAAAACATTATGAGGTAGATAATCAAACTTAATTTTGCTGTGGTGCTAACTAACTGACTGATGTGTCACAGACTGACTATAGCGAATAATTGATGTAAACGGCGTGATATTTATTCATTGTGGAGCCGGCGGTTAGTCACTCGAGCTCAGACAAATCACCTGGCAGTTATGTCATCGAATGTAGCGGTAAATAAATCCACAAAATAAATAGCTCTGTAAGTTTTCGACATTGGGTGCTGACCACATTAGTTTTAGTGGACTCACCTAGCTGAAGGCGCTCGGTCATGCATCCGCACCAGATCACGTGTGGGAACGCCGTGCTCAACATCTACTGCAATCGCTAACCAGATCAGATCAGACAATTCCGATATATTGGCAATCGTCAAATACAACTTCTGATCTCTTCGATTCTGTCTTTTGATTTATCTTGGTGGGTACGAGTTCTATTAGAAGGTGTTACTGGTAAAAGCGTTGTCAAACACTGAATACCTGTGCCATCTTCAAATTTGTCCATCATTGTCATGGCCAAGGATAAACATAAAATACAAGCCAGTTACAAGTCACGGGTATGCGGACGCGGTAGTTGCACCGCTCTGTTTCCTTAACCCATGATTACTAATGCACATCTTTATTAACATTATTTTCGTTCTATGAGATCATCAAGGTAGATACAGTAACCGAATTAAACATAATAATAATCCACGTTAGTTATTTCATTGTTTATTTAAACTCCTAATCATTGTTACAAGGAACACCAAACAAATTTCCACCACACAAATCAAAGGCCCCCGACATGGTTGTCCAAGTGCTATTCATCCTTTTGATATCTGCTTCCGATTCCCGGAGCAGTGTGTTCTTTGGCCATCCTCTTTTCCGTTTCCCTTCGGGGCTCTACATTGGAGCTTGCGTCGTTATACAATTTAATGATTTGCGTAATGTATGTCCTATCCACCTCCAACGTCTTTTCCTAATTTCTTCTTCAGCTGGAAGTTGGTTTGTTCTCTCCCACAGAAGGCTATTGCTGATGGTATCCGGCCAATGGATGTTGAGTATCTTGCGTAGACAGCTATTTATAAATACTTGTACTTTCTTGATTGTGGTTGTTGTAGTTCTCCAAGTTTCAGCTCCATACAGTAGAACTGCCTTGACGTTCGTATTGAAGATTCTGACATTAATGCTGGCTGACAGTTGTTTTGAGTTCTACATGTCCTTACTTTTCCAATCCGTGCCTTTATACCTGCATTATACCCTTCGTCTTCATTGATGATTCTGGTATATGAAAGTTCCCACTTCTTCCAGAGCATCTCCATCAAGTGGTTAGGGTTGGTGTTCACCGTTTTGTACTAGACGGTCATGCTGTTTCCCCAGTACATGTAGTGACTTACTGATGTACAGGCTTCTGTTACATTGGTTGTCTTGACTTACGTCTGTTGGTATATATGGGATAGATGGGCCAGATCATCTGCGAAGTCCAAGTCGTCTGTTTGCATGCAATCAGTCCACTGTGTTCCGTGCTTCTTCTGAGATGTGAAGGTCTTCATAACTTAATCAACCATCAGAAGAAATAAATAGGGCGAGAGTAACTAGCCTTGTCTGACTCTGTTCTTCACTCACAATGCATATATGGGCTACCGCTAATGTGCAGCATCGATGAGTAGTCCGTCGATTGAGTTACGCATGATGTTTACGGTCTTTTCAGGTACATTACAGTGTCGAAGAAGTCTCCATAAAGCTCTCTTATCTACACCTTCAAACGCTTTCTCGTAATCTAAGATATTTCTGTATGGTGATGAGTTTCATTCAATTTACTGTTGAACAACGATAAGTAATGTTGTATTTTGGTCAGTGCATGGCTAATTCTTACGGGATACAGCGTGTCGATCTCGAAGTTTGCCGTCTACCTAATCTTTCATGCAGTTCAACAACATTGGTACCACAGTAGTGAGATTTCGTTATGTCAGTGCTTCTTTAGCTATATCAGCTTCTCTCCTGGTTCCTACGCATTACATGGATCTGAATTTTTTTATTGATGTATATACGATCGACCAGGTTCTCTGTAGTGTGATACGATGAAACTCATATAGCTTTCTGTAAAACTTTACTGGAGAATACGATGCAACCTATACCCATAAATCTGCAAATGCCTCATCATCCTCCTTTCTTTCTCCCAACCCATGTCGTCCCATGATGTCTTCATACCCAGTGTTGTCTATCCAGACTTTGGCAGAATGTTCAGGTCGTTTCCTGTGTACTGTTCTAGGGTCTTCTGCAGCCTTTTATAAAAATAATCTCTGTCTTCTTCACGCTTATTGGTGGGTTAGTAGCACTGTATGACATTCATTATAATTCCCCCTTCAGTGTTTCGAAGGATACTTTGATGATTCTGGGTCCACAAGATTCACATCTTATGCGTGCTTTTTGCGCTTCTCCATATAGAATAAGTGTAGCTTCTTGAGTCTGTGGTTGTGAAATCTTCTTTATGACTAGGGTACAACATCACCTTCGTCGAAGCCATTCTTTTCTTCCAGAGTAGGTTCATTGGATTTCATTTGTCCCGAGCACGTCAAAGCTGTATTTCCTCATATTTGCAGCTATTTGGCTGGTACTTATAGTCTCCCAGATTACCTGAGCGTTCCGTTTTCTTATAATAGCTGTTTCTCTGGTAATTAGAATGGGTATCGAGCTCGTGACTTTAGGGGAATCTTTGCTTCCACCATAAGGCGTCATAATGTTTCTAAATGAAAGTCCTTTAGCTCTCAGGGTACAGATCTAATGACCCAAGACTTATTTTAGGTTAGTGTTTCCCAGTGATGCTATTCTCTATGGGATGTGGTTGCTGACCTTATTTCCAGCCCCCCTTCATCTGGACCGGGATTAGCTGTAGTAATACTACATGCAGGAGAGCCCTTAATCATGGGCTCACATCGCCCACACCAGTCGTCCAAAATATTATTAAATTACATAAGGAGAAACTGGAACCATTCTCACATGTGCTTCTTCGAGGCGTCCAATTTTCCAGTGACCATTGGCTATTTTTGACCTTGACGACGCTTGATGGTGAAGATGCCACAGACATTTGGAGTTTGTCAATACTTTAACCAGTAACACCTTCTGACACGAATCGTACCCACCAAGTGAAATCAAAATACAGAAGATATATTTGGTAGGCTATCAATACACCGAGGATCGTCTGATCTAATCTGGTTAGCGATTGCAGGGGTTGTTGAGCATGGCGTTTGCACTCGTGATCTGTTGCGGATTCATGACTGAGCTCCTTTAGCTAGATGAGTCCATTAAAACTACTGTGGTCAGCATCCCATGTCGAAAACTTACAGAGCTATTTATTTTGGGGATTTATTTACCGCTACAATGGATTTCCCAATGATCAGTGTCTTTTAAGTCAATGTTAAAGAGGCTCGACTTCGCGAATAAATTGGCTAGGGCTCAAGGGCGCTTCATTGGCCCTACAGATACATCAAGAAATGACTATTAGGTCCTTTCTATTTACGTGAATGATATACTATATTGTTTTGAATGGGGCCTAAATTGAAGGGAAACATTATCATTAGTGATGCGAACTGTGTAAGGTCAAGTGCGTCAAATTCACAACGAGTAATGGTTTCCCAGTGTTGGGGACGACCGTGATACGAACTTTGCCGGTATCTGCATCGGACATACAAAATGCTTCTAAGAACGACCCCATCGTCAAGATGACTATGAGCTATGTCACCGACGGTTGGTCGTCTAAGAAGTTTGATGGTGACATGAAACAGCTGTGTCAGCGGCTGGATTCGCTATGTATTGTAAAGGACTGCTTGATTTTCGGAGAAAGAGTGGTTGTGCCAGAATCCCTTCGTGCAAAAGTGCTTAAGCAGCTCCACTTTGGTCATCCGGGGGTTAGACGAATGAAATCCGTAGCCAGGAGTCATGCATATTGGCCGCTAATGGATCAACATGTAACAGGATTGGTTGAGAAATGTATGCGGTGTCAGCAAGCGGCAAAAGTGAACGCCAAAGTTCCACCAGTTTCATGGCTACGATCTGATCATCCTTGGTCCAGGATACACGTCGAATTTGCAGGCCTAATTAACGGAACCATGTATCTAGTTGTAGTCGACGCCTTTTCGAAATGGCCAGAAATCAACCCTATAATACCGCCAACGACGATTAAAACACCACAAATCCTCACAGGAATATTCTCTCGAAATGGTATACCAGATGCCATTGTATCTGACAACGGTTCACAGTTCACCCCCAGCCAGTTCCAGTCATTCTGTCAACGGCTAGCCATAAAGCACTTTCGGTTGCCACCATACCACCCGCAGTCGCATGGGTAAGCAGAAAGGTTTGTGGATATTTTTAAAACAGCCTTGGCTAAGTCAAATGGGGGGGGGGACGCCAGCAGACGCGTTGCAAAATTTCTTATACGTATGCCGAACAACACCAAATGAGACGTTGCCGGAGCGAAAGTCCCCAGCAGAGGTCCTCATGGGAAGGGACTGAAGATGATTCACAGCCTGATGCGTCCAAGTAATGTACTGACACCAGAACGGACAAAGTTTGAAAAGCAATCCACGTGCGAAGCAGAATTTTCTGTGTTTGCCTGTGACAACAGACCAACCCATGGTCCATGGATGAAAGCACGATCGGTCAGAAGAGTTGGCCGAGTCATGTACGAAGTTGAGGTAGGCAGCGACAGGTGGCAACGCCATCGGAATCAGTTACGCAAACAGCTAGCCCCAGACCGCCCATCAACCGAAGTAAATATTCCCCTTGATATCCTGCTAGACACATTCAACTTACCGGCAACTCTGTCACAA